GCATGCCAGCCACCTGTCCAGACCAGACCCGCTCCTTTCTCAAGGTGTGCTGTGGAGACTGAGAAATTCAGACTCTACTCACACTGTTTTGTATTGCAAGTGGGTAGGAATTGGGGAGACCCAGTGAAATGTCTCACTAGAATCTGAAAAGAATGAAACAGAAGAGGGCAGTGGGGAGAGACTGGGGGCTAGGAAGTGAAAGAGGGCATCTGTCCACCCTTCCTCTCAAGGGATGTGCAGGCATGCAGTGTCCTCCTTTCTGTCCCTCCCTTTCTTCTTTCACATAAAGAGATCCCCCTTTTCTTGCAGTTTTGGATGGACGAGGCAAGAGAGGAGAGCATAAAAGAAGCCCTACGGATAAGAAGGTAAGGCTGTCACACAGAGTTAGGAGGGATAAAGATGGAAAGGTCTGGTCCATCACAGCCCACATCTTGTGTCTCTTGGTCCCACAGACAACAGGGGTATGCTCTCCTCTGCCTCAAACACACATACTTCACAAGTTTGTAAGCATTGCATCACTACAGTGCCGGGGGGGGGGGGGCAAGGAGCCTGCTTCCATTGCAAAACAAACACAGAGGTGCCCAGGTTTCAGCAGAGAAGAGCTCTGGGAGAGGCCCTGAATCCTCTCTCCAGCTGGCTGTTTGCTTCCACCTCTAGGCATCCCTAGCTACTAGGGACCAAAACCAAAACATGCTTTTGTAGTTCTCTTTGAGTAAAAAGGCATGTTTTCAAAGCTCAGGTTGATGATCCTACAACCCAAATTAAAGGACTGAAGAGCTTTTACTAAGTCCCAAAACTCCCCTGCCTAAGAAAACTAGCCTCTTCCCCAAGGGGCTGGATGAATTGTTTAGGCACCATCTGGCTCCCTTTCCTCTAAGTTCCCTGCCTCTCTCCAACTTCTGGCTTCTGGGAACTCTTGTCTTTAGCTTCTCCATCTTGTCCTTCAAGGACTACTTGTGCAAACAAGGCCTACTTAAGGAAGGAGAGCCCCTCCAGTGTTCCCAAATCCATTCTGATGCAGGCATAACTCACTAATAAGTCAGGGTATTGTCATCTTAGAGCCCCGTGATTGACTAGCCCCATGCTTCTCAATCTTGGGTGCTTATTAGAATCAGCTGAGGAGCTTATGAAGCTGCAGATGCTCAGGCCCCACTCCCAGAGATTCTTTTTTATTGGTCCAAGGTAGGACCTAGGCATCTTTGGGG